TTTGATCAATTTGCATAGCAGAAATAAAAACTCCAGACCCTTGTGGGTTTCAGGGCCAGCTGTTTTCTTTAGCTTCAGCTCTATGATTGAGGATTAAGAGGAGGATACAGAGTAAAAAGAAATGCACACGGCAATTGCTGCCTTCGGAAGATTTAACAGTCACACTGAGGATTTTTTATGTTCTCTGTTTTTTCATTCCTTTATAAGGAAAACAAACAAGAAAAACTTTACCAAAAAAGCTACTCAAAGGAATATAACTCAACATATCAAATGCAAGTTTTATTTGAATCCATTTCAAGAAAGGATTCTAATATTCACATTCACACACAGGAAACTTCATTATAAAAGCTGAGCACATATAGGCAGGTTCCTACAAAATCCAGATATAGAATGAATTCTCTGTGAACCTAAATATTTCTATCTATTTGAGCACATTTAAGAATATTTGTGTTTTGATATTTCAATGTAGTGTTGTCTAACATGTTTCAGTATTTTTTTTGAGAGGAGCCTGGCATTTTCAAGGTTTAACATTTACCTGCAAAGAGGGAGAGCCTTTGAATTTTTTTGAGACATGCATCATTCATCTTGAAGTCATCCTGAAAATGTGGCAAGCCATTAATACTTTTGTAGAGAACCAGGTTCCATTTTTCTGGTATAAATATATTCTGAGGTCTGCCTTTAAATGTTTACCTAGGAGTAGGAAAGTTTGAGAAAGGAGAGAAGCTTAGAATCATGCTTTTGCCTTGCCTTCAACTTTGACTGTTGTGAAGGGACAAAATTCTATACAATATGCTTTGATAGTAAAGAGATGGAAAGGCTGGAACAGTTTTGTGATCACGTCTGTCCTTTTATGGGATTGTTATTACCTCTAATTCCCAGGCAGATGCACTACTTACTTGGAAGCCATTGATTCAATATTTATTTGCAACTAGTATGCAAATAAAATGTGAAATATACGATTCTCCTGACAATGCTTTTTTTCCCCCTTAAATCTTAGGTTTATTTGGGGGAATTTATTCCTTTTTTATGCCAATAATAGCTAAGGTTTGTGAACTTCAGAAGCCATAACCCAATTACATGACTTTCCCAAAGTCAAAAAAGACCTGTCTAAACCTGTAAGCATAACTGTAAGGTGATAGCATAGAGTTTTAAATTTTAGTTCAATCGTTTCCTACAGGCTAGACTTAGTTCAATATAGGTAATATTTTAATTACTTAAAAATTCAAGTAAAATATGATTTAGAAATTTTCAAACTCAAGTGATTCTAAGGAAGTAATATTTGTTTTCTTAATTGCCATTGGTGGCAGGAAGTCATGAAACAGTGGCCAGCTTATTTTCAGGTCTTTTCCTGTTTAATTTTTTTCACTTAGAAAAGATAAAAACTGCAGGCATTATCAGAGAACTAGGGGAAATTAAAGAGGAATCACTGTAGAAACATCTTTTCATATAATTGCATCATTTTTATTACTCCTGGGCCGGCAAATGGTCCAACTTGTCTGAAAAATGTACAGGTCAAATATGTGTGCACAGTCACTTGGCCAAGTGTGGGTAAGTTGATATCTCTGAAGATTTATGACTATCCCTTTACTACCTGTCTCCTCCCATTCCCTGTACTGTCTAGACCAAGTTGAGTTTATTTTTCTTTAATTAAAGTGGCTATGAAGAATAAAATAAAGAACTAAATAGTTAAATGGAGCATGTGTGTGTGTATTTGTGTGCGTGTGTGTGTGTGTGTGTGAGAGAGAGAAAGAAAGCAATTAGTATTTGCTAAATCTTTGCCAAATCTCTCTGCATATACTTCTGACATACAATTACCTATTTCTTTAATGATACTCATAGTAAACAACTGAATTTGAAAGTATATTTTAAAAAGTTAAATATATACAAAGCATTGAAAAATAATAACAATTTTAAATGGGTCCTAGAATTACATGATTTTTTTCAAGTATTAGGAGATCCAGACATAAAATTCTTTTTTTTTTTTCTTTCAAAGTGTAGCCCAAAACAAACATCTATCTTTGCTTTCTTTGTAGGAAAGAACCAGTATCTGGATTATTTCCAGGCTATCCAGACAGTTATTTCAACTGGAACAAGTGACCTTTGGAACAGACTAGAACATAGCAGCCTGGCCAGACAAAGGGGAGGGAGTAGTCAACTGGGAAGGACCCCAACATGTTCTTCTGAAAGTTCATTTGAAATAAGAGGAAAATAAAAAGTTAAAAACAGATAAATGAACTCAAAAATATTTAAAACCAATGAAAACTGTGTGACCACAATATCGGATTCAAGGAAAGATACAGCTTGAGTTTTTAGCTATCATTCTTTAATACACATGCTCAACAAATATAGTTCTCCACTCCCTTGAGTACAGGGAATGTCCTGTAATTATACGACATGCATCCTTGAATCCTCACAGCCTCTTTGAAGCTGAACAGTCACTCTTTTGTTTTTTCTCTCAATTGGGCCAGATTTCCTTGGTCTATGATTCTATGGTGGTTGTTAAACATTCTTAGGCAGACAATTATCAAGAGCTTTACTTAGCAAATTATCGATGCAGTAAAAGTTAAAATAATGGAAAAGATTTTATTGGAGAGAAAAAAGTGGTTATCTTCTTCCAGTATTAATTTGAAGGCATGGTGTTTTTTCCTATCTAAGAGCATAGAAATTTTAGTTTGCATCATTATCAAGAAGCATGCTAAATAATTATTCAACCTTTTACTGAATGCTTATGGATAAAGTATTGTGCTTGTCACCAAAGAGGATACAAAAATGTCAAGGAAATCCTTCAAGAGGATGGGAAAAATAAATAGCAACATTTTAAAATTTATTAAAAATACAAAAAAGAGAGTAGCTTCCAAGATATTTTATTGATTTTTGCAAAAAATATTAATAATGATAAGTTGATTAGAGTCAAGGTACTGAGAAAATGCTGTGGGATTTCAGAATGTTCTTTCAGAGAAAACTAAGGTCCAGTGTGTATTAGAAAATCTTTTAAGAAGTAACCTCTACAGCTTCTAGCCAGGTCCCCTTTAATGAAAGTGGTAACATTTGAAAGTCTTAATGCATGGAGTTCCAAAATGTCTATAGAGTTGCCTGCAAACTAGAACAGTTTGGTTCAGTGAATTTTGAGTGTGCATTTGAATGAATGCCAAAACTGTGGCTAAGGTAAATAAGATAAGGTAAATTTTTGCTAAATTTTGTTACACAGTTATGGTGATACTATTAACTGAAACGGAACACAATGTTAATCATACAGAAATAAGGAATTTGGCTATTTCAATTTATCATGTCACATCAGAAAAATGAGAACTCAACTCCTTCTTAAGTATGCCATCTTTTGTATACTATTTAACTATGATTTTGGAAGTAGGGTTGCTTAGAGTCTATGAAGTAGAGTGGAAAGGAATGAATCCAAAGGCAATGACTTCTGCAATTTAAATAATATCTATATTTCATAAAATTTTATCTGAAAATAAGGAAATTGAAGACTGCAAGTGATATTAGGAGGTGGTGTCCTTGCTAGAGCAAAAAAAAAAAATCCCACTTTGAAAGGATTCTAGAGAAATTATGCTTTGGGGGAAGGAATTTCAGAAGTGGATCATCTTGGATCTTGAGAACATAAGATCAAAACGTGGGACAATTATGTAAGAATTAAGGTTTATGTCAAATTTGCTACATGGGTATTGAAGAGGGAAGTTTTTGGAAGATTTGTCTGAAGTGATTTAGGAAGAAGACATGTAGGAAATGCCCAGAGGGATCTGAGGGCAATACCAGCCATGCCCATCTCAACAGTTTGTGAGCTGCCTATGAAGGGTGTAGTTTAGGTGGAGTCTGAGATTGAGTCGTCAAAATTGAGTCCAAGATCCTTCAAGTAATTTAACAGAGGTCTAAACTCAAAATCATGAGTAAATATTGAATTTGGAACTATATATGGAAACACTGGAATAGCAAAGTATTGACAGTCAGTTTTTTCCATGATTATGCCTAATAACACCAATAAGAGTAAAAAAAAATCAGTATTTAGAAATGCAACAACATATAATCTATCAGAAATTCTATTTGAAAATGAATTCCCATACTATGACTAAAATTTTTTGAAAAAAATTCAAATCCAAAATATAAGAAGAAAATTATTGCCATTAGCCTGTCCTGATAAACCTCACACTGTATGTCTGACATAAATAGTAGCTAGTGTGAGGTGTCCAGATTTAACCATAGTGAAATATATATGTTCCTGGGAAAGTTTTTGGTTCACACAGTACTTCAATATTAATACATATTGGTTTTCATTTATTAACTCATATGCTTCCCTTACTTTTCACTTATGACAACAAACTAACTGAAGGAAGGATTATTGTCAATTTAACAGTATCAGTTAACAATATCTATCAGCAAACTTGCTAGACGTTTTCTGACATGTATAACACGTGTTATTCACACAATGTGAGTAATAAGTGAATTTTATTGAATGAATTAAATTGTTCATTGGGGTACAGAGGCTGTGTATGGGATTCCTGTGTGTCTCTAAAATACTTAACACCATGTTTTGAAAAGCTTCAAAAGTCCTTCTTCAAGATTGAACAATTAACCACAAGCCACAGTCTATTATCAAGTCTACCTTTTTAAGACTATCAGCTAAGATACCTTTAGTATTATTGCTAGGCTCAAAAATCCCCCGATTTTGAAAAGTGATATTTACATAATACAGTTATTGCACCAGATGCTTCTGTTGAAAGGAACCAAATCATGACCTCTCTCATCAGCAGGATCAAATTCATTGTTTTCACAACTGAATGATATTTGCTCATAAAGCTAAATTGTGTGTGGGCTGTAAGAAATGAAGTTAAATGTAAAGCCCTTTCTTTCTTTTTTGCATCTTTCTCTTTCTCTCTTTTTTCTTTCAACTCCAATTTATGACCAAGAGAATCTATCATATAATTAGCTTTAGAATGTGTCTAAATTAATTAGAGATTATTTAATGAGTATATTATACAATTTAATTTATTTAAAATCATTTATTTTCAGCAAAATCAAACATATTATCGTGTTTACATAGAAATACAATTTTCAACTAGATCTTCATAAAAATGCACTGGAGAAATAAAATGTTCATCATTAATGACCAATTATGTACTATTTAATCATGCCAGTAGCAGAATTGATTACCATTAAAAATTGGTAAAGTAACGTATCTTAAATGTGCAAATACCATCTTAGTACTCTAGTGTGTTACCATTGATAATAAATGGTCACTAAATATATACCTATTACATAAATCTTTTTAAAGTACAATAAAAATACAAATCTATCTGTTAAAAAAAGCCACTTATAGGGCTTCTAAACATCCTCATTATACAAATTCCAAAATACTATATGACAAACAAAATTATAAAGACTCTTCTTTATGAAACATATATCGCCCTCTAATTAAGACACAATGTAGCAGATAAAGGAAAACACACAAGAAGACTCATATATACCATTCAACATTATGGAGATACACACAAACATAATATTGCATAAGTGTATTTGATTTCTTTTCCTAATGGAAATGTACCTTTAGCACTTGAAGAAAATTCCCACGAGTAAAAGAAAAATCTATTTTTGACGGCTACCCCAATCTAAGCCCACATTTTTATTCATTTATTTTTCTCATAATGTAATGAACCAAATTAGAAATTTTCATCAGAAAGTTTTGTTGCACTGAATACAAATTATTCTGTTACATAATGGGCAAAAGTATAGAAAACAAATGTTGCTTTTAAAGGTTAGGGTTCATCAGCACATTAAGAATGAGGTACGAGAGAATTTTATTGCTCATGTTCAAGACTAAACTGAGCAGCAACTTGATTTTTGTGAAAAATGAGATTCTGACTTCAACAAAACGAATTCAAATCAAATTTGCTAAGTAAGATTGATAATTAGTATAGAATAGTTGCCATAGATGTTAAAGTATGAAAATTAGTGTGGCATCGCAAAATAAACTTTGGTGAGAAAATATCTTTATCAAAGAAGAAACTATCAGAAGGATAATACCTATTTAGGGAGAACAAATATATTTGGTAAAGTAAAGATGGGTGATAGATATTGCAACCATAAACAGCATATATTCCAAATGATTTTTAGGAATATGAGGTCAGATAATGTTCAGATGTTATAGTAATATAACTTATCTCATTAGAAATAAAATCCTAAGATTTTGTAAATAGCAGATTTTCATTATTTTTCCATAATCTTTATTCATGAAAAAACTTAAATATTTAGAGTATAACTGATAATAACTAACATTATCACTTTGCATTTACTAATATTTAATAAATACTCTAAATACATTGGTTTAATTATTATTGGAATTTATATGCTTGTTATTTTACCTGCTAAAACTTAGTGACCTGGTGGCATTATATTCAAAGTTAACATTTTCTGAATGACATGAGCAGCATTTTATACATAAAATGGTATCTGTCTATGAATGGCAACATGTTTATTATTTGAAAACAGAATGTGTTTAGTTTGGCATTAATATATCTCTTCAGAATTTTAAAAAGTATCATTAAGGTATGGCTTTCGGGAAATCAATAAACTAGCAGCCTTGAAAATGGATTCAAATTTCAAGATGCTAATTATTTAGAACTCACACACAAGGCAGGTATTTGTATAATTTGTCTTTCAATTATAAATTCATCTACCACAGAAACAGAAAGGATACTAAAAGTATGATACACTTTACAGCAAGTTGTTTTTAAAATAAAAATTACAGATCAATTGTGAAAATGAAGACATTTTACTGAAATAATTTTCAAAACATTAATATATTCAAAAATATATTGGGCACATGTATAATACCTATCTTAAAGTAATAATGAATCATATATGCATATAGACAAATTTAACATGAATCAGGGTCTCTTGTTCTTGACATCAGCACCTACTGTCTAATGGGTCGAGACAAAATACGGTGCCTTCAAGAGTTAGTCCCATTTTGAACCCCTCCTGTAAAACAGAATAAAATCATTAAAATAGGAAATGCTCATGGCAAAGTAAAATAAAATAAAATCAGTAAATAGAAGAGACTATGAACAGAAGTTGAAATCTTCATGCTTTGATCAATTAAGAAACTATTATATACCAAGTGTTGGCTTGTAAAATTTTATATAGATGTATACCACTGGCAGTTCTTTTATACTCATTAATATTTTAATGTTTTACATATAAAGGTTAGCATTCATGAGAGACAGAAGAAAATAACAATATATGGAATTAAGTAGTTTTAAGGCTTAAACATTTCTTTTTCAGTAAAGCCTATTTATTATATCACTCTATTATAGCTTATAATAATTATAAAGATTATTATTAACTTAAATATTAAGATAGCTGGACCTCAAATTGATGAGAAGTTCAAGATGTCCTGATAATTTTCACTTTTTAATTTCTGGTTACCACTGACCAGAGCCTGCATAAAATACTTTTTGTAAATTCAATGCCATTATCCTATGTGGAACACAAACTGCAGACCATTTTGCCATGGAGAAAGCTTCCCCTACAAGCTGTGCTGTTGCTTACAGTGGACTGGCCCCTTTGATTCCTACTCCCCCAGCATGTTTTAGAAGTTAAGTTGCCTTTGATTTATTGAGCATAAGAACACTGTTCCTATGAAAGTTTTGTGGTTTTCTTTCCTTAAGATTTTGAGTTAAAAGTTAATGGCATAGGATTCTGTCCTCTACTCCAAGCTCTCTTCTTTTCTGGATAATTGAACTGTGAGCCATCTCTGGTCTTACCACCTTTCCCAATCCCCACCCTTGCTTGTAAATCTATGCACACTGGTCTACAAAGAGATAAAAGGCACAGACGCACACTGATCCGTAGAACTGGAGGTCACATTGCAGGTTTCCTTGTAGAAGCCATGTGGCAGAGCCCTATATATATTCTACCTTTTTTTCTTACTAAGAAAACTGAGATGTTGAAGGAGGTAATTTGTAGTTTGAGGTGGCCGTGTGACACATTATTGGCAAACAAAATGTAGACATCAGTCTATTCCTGAAGAAAACAAAGTGTTTCTCAAAGAGAAGCATTTGTCTTCAGCTCTGCTTTGTGTGTTTTATTCAAAGACTAACTGTATCCATCTGTGCGTTAGCCAATTGTGTATCTATTTGCATTTCCCCAGATTTCTTTCATTTAGAACAGGTATCTAAATGTACTTAGAGTTGTACAAATCCAATATGAAGATCATCATATAGAGAGGGAAGGTATTATTAAGCTGCAAGCCACACTTTATTTGTTATTAATATTCAGAGAATGATCTTCATTATGTTTACAGCACAGAGATTACATAGCAATGTAATCACTATA